CTTCAGAGGGCCTGTTTTCAAAATCATTAGTAGACGACATTTTAATTCTACAACATTGCGTACATTTTTACAGCATAGGAAATTGTCAAGAATGTTTGTCCTAATACAGAAACCACCTAAAAATATATATGTATATAAAAAAGATATATATATATAAATACTGTATACACCCCTCCCCATAATCACCACTTGAGATGCACGAAAGAGCATGTTCTTTGTATTGGTTTCTTCAGTATATATTTTAAACAAAATAATACATTCTGGGTCTAATAGTACGCTCTAAATGTGTGTGTGTGCGGTTTTTTTACAGTTTATAAAAAAATGGCTACAACAGAATTACATTTCAGAGCATGAAACTTTTTTGGCTCCTTCGGCTAAAAAGGTTCCCACCTCTGCTATAGACTAATGGCTCATATGTGTCTGTTACTATTGCATTTCCTTTGATCTAACTGTTTCTCTAATCTGCTTTTGGGCTAGGAAACTATGGATGATGACTGCTGTTGTGGTTCAGGAAGATTGACAAATAAATTGACCTGAATTGAATGAAATAAGGAAAAAGGAAGTCCAAAGCTGTAAAAAGTAGCGCTTTCAAAGATTTCTAACACTACATTTTCCTTTGTATGAAACTCACTAAATGATTCACAGAGTCCAGAGGAAAAACAGAGGGATAAAGTGTTGATGATGAAAAAACCACTTCCGACTCCAACCATCACCTGTTCCCCTGTTTCCTGGTCCTCTGCATGTTTGATGGTGTTTGATGGTGTTTGTGCTGCGAGCCGCCGCACCGCGGGACCCAAGCGCCTGTAATTGTGAACAAGAGAAAAGATCAAAGATGTTGAAGCGCTGACAGCTCCACACAGAGCGGCGGGTCCGGAGTCCAGACTCTGCTGTGGGAACAGTTTACTCTGTCACAGGGGGAGCGGCTAATGGGCTAATGGCGCCCAGGGGCCTGGATTGGTCTGGCTCAGCTGGGACCAGCTCAGTCTAGTTCGGTATGGAAGAAACACAGGTCCTGATGCAGGGGCAAGAGAGAACATGGGTCAAAACATGTTTGAGCTAAAGTCAAGAGGCTTTTAAAGACAGAGCAAAGGCCAGACAGAGCAGTTCATGAAGGAGAGGCTGAGGATCTGCTCTGGGACAACTTACTTAATTCCTGTCAACATTCATTAGGCTATATGTGTGTAACTGTTTCATTCATTAGGCTATATGTGTGTAACTGTTTCATTGGTTGTGGGGGAAAAGTTAGGGACTGTTGTGAGCTGTGCCAGATTGGTGCTATAAAAAAGAGCTAATGGTCCTGGGGGGGTTGAGATGAGGGTGAGGGGGCTGCGCTTGTTACACCCAGGGTATCTGCGATTGGACAGATGGATCTCTATCTTACACATACACACACACACATACATACAAACACAGACACAGGCACACACATACATAGATACAAACACACACACACATACACAGTGCCTTCCTCCATCACTGCCAGTCTTAAGTCCACCCTCTCCATCACACGCGTCAGGTTTGTGGAGCGTGGCGCTGGTGGAAGTCATTGTTCACATGTGACTGTTGCTGAGGGATGTGTTTACGCCTCACACGCACACATTTATCGTCTGCAAAACAGTCATAAAGTTACGGCTGTCGAGACGTCAGCTGTCACCGTGGTTACTGCTGCAAATGCCTCAGAACCAGTGAAAGAGAGAGGATCAGCGGGGGGAGTCAGCTGTGGAGCTCAGGAGACATGTTTATTTAGATCCTGCTCCTGTAGTTATCAAACTCTCTCTGAATTAGTGAACAATTGTATTGACGAGAACAAAACAATCAAAACAAAAACAGTTGAAAAATGTATGACATTGTTTTAAAACCAGGTCAAATGTGTCTTTGAAAAATAAAAATAAATACTTGTTTGTTGGGATTCTAAGGTTATGGTTATGATTAATGTACACTTGATTTATCCCCGTTGCACAGTTTGTCCTCTGCGTTTGCCCCACTGCCACATCTCTGTCAAGGCCATACTTTTAATGTTTTTGGGGGTCAATAAATATTGACCATGAGATTTCTCTATAGTAGAGTAGAGTAGAGCTGGTGGAAATTAGGCTATAGTTCAGCTTAGTACAATGAACATTGACCTCAAAGGAAGTGGTTACAGCCCAAGTGCAAAAGCAATATGATAATTTAGGATTGTTTTACATAGAGTTAAAGAATATACAAATACATTTGTGAAAAACAGTCCCCTCCCACAATAACAGCCCGCGCATCGCTGGCCCAGAACACCTCTCCATAGAGGACTCTCGGAGGCATCCCAAACAGATGTCTGAGCCACCTTGACTTCAGAGAGCTAAGAGGATAGCACTTTTGCTTCTCACTAAGGGCATGGGTTCGAATCCCAGTCAGAACAGGGCCTTTCTGAGTGGAGTTTGCATGTTATCTCCGTGTCTGCATAGGTTTCCTCCAGGTGCTCTGGTTTCCCCTACCACTAAATCCATGTACAGTAGGTAAATCCTCCAGCTCTGGTAGTCTTGACCAAGACAAGCATCAACATCTGGAGATGGGTTCCCAGGTGCTGTACTTCTCCTGACAGACAGGGCTCGGCAATCCGCGGCTCTTTAGTGCTCCTCGAGTGGTTCCTGGAGCCTCTTCAAAAATGTATGAAACTGGTGGAGAGGGCTATATTTTATTACTAGTTTTAATGTGGTTTCTGTAGGAGGAAAAACATTATTAACATTTTCCAATGCTGCAAAAAAGTGCATACAAAATATTCAATTTAAAAATCAATCAATGTAGATTTGCGTCATATCCTTCGACAAGCGCTGTTGTAAACAAACGTGTGCTTGGGTCCGAATGGATCCCAAAGCTAAACAGTAAGAGAAAGAGTTGATAAGAACCGAGAATTCAAGGAAGAATGAACTGAAACTTTTGCTTTCATTGCCAATGAGGAAGGACTGCTTCATGTTTGATTTGTATAGAGAAATTGTCAAAATAAAAGCGTTCCTTCCAGGTAAGGAATGTTAAAATTTGCTGCTGACTGCAGTTTGGAGTGAGAGAAAGTGCGATCGCAGTTCTTCTACTGCTGAAGAACACGAGAAACAATGAAGCGCGAAATACCAATCTCGTATGGTCATTATGTGAAGGATTAATTCATCAGAATATTGGAGCACCTATTTTCAGACTTCAAAAACCGAGATAATCCAGGAAATTAAAGATGTGCCTTTTTTTTCAAAGACGTGAAAGAAAAGACCATTGAAGGACATTAATTCAACCAACTCCAGCCTGTGATGTGATCAATATGTATAGACAGTGCAGGTATGTGAACTCTAAGCCAAAAAGCAGATTTATTTACTGTATTTCTTTAATTGCATGAACGCAACAAAATGAAAGTCAAACTTAAAGCACCATATATCGTGTAGCAGAGCAGTCACGTGTTGAGTCATTCTCTTCCATAAAATACACATCTGGAATTCATGAATACTTATTATGTACAAGGCTGTATTTTTTTGCGGCTCCAGACATATTTGTTTCTAGTTTTTATTTAGTCAAATATGGCTCTTTGAACCTTTGGAGTTGCCGACACCTGGGCAATGCAGGAGGCGACAGTTTTTCACAGAGAAAAATGAAGAGCTTGTTTCATCCTTTATTCACACCACACTGCAGACATTTCATAGTATAATTATGTGTCAAACACTATGTATAATAAAACATATATATTTTTTACATTTATATTTTTTGTAATTTCTCAGTCTTTTGGGGAGCTGCCTTGAAGCAGCGACTGGCTGGAGGGATATTTCTGCAAGTGGAACAAATATAAGAAAGACAAATGTGTAAAATTGTTGGTGACCTTGGTGATTTAAAATGAAATCCAGAACTAACACCTTTTCTCTTTGACCATATCCCCCTGCAATTAATCCTGCCCTGAAAGAGAACTATGTATATATTGGGAGAAGGTGGAAGCGCTGGGCCTGGGGTTTTGTCAAGAGGTGGAAACAGCCGAGAGAGCTCTGCATAGTGTACTCATGTAGTCAGCAAGACAGATGGAGCGGGTAAATTTAGAGCAATACCATTCATAATACCTAATTCACTTTAAATGGGCTTAAGAGGCTCTTGAAATAGTCCAGGTCGTCTATAACCCTCCAGGAGAGCTCGGCTTCCACAGGAGAGAGAGACGTGAGGCTCACTCAGTGAGGCACCTCCGTGGCCATTTCATTTGAAACAGATTGTAATGCTTTAGATCAGCACAGTTGTTAAATCAGGATTTTATCAACTTTGTCTGATATCTAAGGTCAAGCCTTTTTTATATTTTGATCAAGTCAACAAGTCATGGCCGCTTTTATTTATTCACGGCTGGACCAGTGTAGAATGCTTTACTCTGGCACTTCACCACCGCATGCACTTTCACACTTACATCTAGTCCAGAACACACACACATATATATATATATATATATATATATATATATATATATATATATATATATATATATATATATATATATATATATATATATATAGATATATGTATATAGATATATATACTGTGTATATATAATCTATATATATATAGGGACTGAAGCACCAGGGACTGATATATATCGAGGTCACTGCCCCGAGTGCATCTATCACCACGGGCACTACTGTCACCTTTACTTTCCAGGCCCTCTCCAGCTCCTCACTGAGCCTTTGGTATTTCTCAATTTTTTTTGGATGTTACTAGGCTTGGAATTGCCACGTCCACCACCATCTTCTGCCCTTTGTCTACCACCAGGACTTCATTCGGTCGGTCTGTATCTGGAAGTCCCACAGGATCTTTGCATGCTCATTCTCCACCACCTCTGAAGGAGTTTCTCATTTGGACCTTGGGGTTTCCAGCCAATGCTCTGCACAGATGTTTCTGACAGACCTGTATATTACATTTTTAACCTTTGTCTATGTGCAGCCCTTTGGAAACTTGTTTTATAAAATTTACTGTATAAAATAAAGAAGGTGGGTTGAATTGATTAGTGGTGAATTCAGTCCCTGGTGCTTCAGTCCCTGGTGCTTCAGTCCCTGGTGCTTCAGTCCCTGGTGGTGCTTCAGTCCCTGGTGCTTCAGTCCCTGGTGCTTCAGTCCCTGGTGCTTCAGTCCCTGGTGCTTCAGTCCCTGGTGCTTCAGTCCCTGGTGCTTCAGTCCCTGGTGCTTCAGTCCCTGGTGCTTCAGTCCCTGGTGCTTCAGTCCCTGGTGCTTCAGTCCCTGGTGGTGCTTCAGTCCCTGGTGCTTCAGTCCCTGGTGCTTCAGTCCCTGGTGCTTCAGTCCCTGGTGCTTCAGTCCCTGGTGCTTCAGTCCCTGGTGCTTCAGTCCCTGGTGGTGCTTCAGTCCCTGGTCCTTCAGTCCCTGGTGCTTCAGTCCCTGGTGCTTCAGTCCCTGATGGCGCTTCAGTCCCTGGTGCTTCAGTCCCTGGTGGTGCTTCAGTCCCTGATGGCGCTTCAGTCCCTGGTGCTTCAGTCCCTGGTGCTTCAGTCCCTGGTGCCTCAGTCCCTGGTGCCTCAGTCCCTGGTGCTTCAGTCCCTGGTGGTGCTTCAGTCCCTGGTGCTTCAGTCCCTGATGGCGCTTCAGTCCCTGGTGCTTCAGTCCCTGGTGCTTCAGTCCCTGATGGCGCTTCAGTCCCTGGTGTTTCAGTCCCTGGTGGTGCTTCAGTCCCTGGTGCTTCAGTCCCTGGTGCTTCAGTCCCTGGTGCTTCAGTCCCTGGTGGTGCTTCAGTCCCTGGTGCTTCAGTCCCTGGTGGTGCTTCAGTCCCTGGTGCTTCAGTCCCTGGTGGTGCTTCAGTCCCTGGTGGTGCTTCAGTCCCTGGCGCTTCAGTCCCTGGTGCTTCAGTCCCTGGTGGTGCTTCAGTCCCTTCTCGCTGATCTAAGACCAGCTCGCACAAACATTCAGTGGGAGTTCGCAGTCACCAAAAAGGAAATCAAAACAAGGAGGAATAAATAAACGTGTGGCGGTAAACAGGCATATTTTGGGCCCCGCCAGAAAACACACATCGGGAATAGGCGCAAAAGGAAAAACCGACTGTGGCTCTTCCCCGTGGCGTCGACGCTGCACAAGCTCCGCCTTCTTTGGGGAAACAACAGCAGAGTGTGATCGTCAGGATGGCACAAGTCCAAGAGTTAGATGTGGTAAACACAACCTAAACAGGGACCAAAAAGGCACCAAGAGAAGGCCTGGGTTAAAGGCCATAGAGAAGGACCTGTTCCTCAGGTTTGAGACCACAGAGAATGCCCTGTCTCCCCCCAAGGTAATGACCACATTTAAATAATAGTAATACAAACCCAGAGCCGTGGTACAATCACAGTCTAGTTTGTTACTTTAGTAAATGTGAACAAAGTCCACAACCAAAGTAAGTAATTGATCTTAATTTATACAGCGCCTTCCACAGACCAAGGCCACAAAGCACTTCACAGTAAAAACAAATACAAACAGTCAAAATACAAGTTAAAATACATACAACAAATACAAATATAATGGCCAAGACAACTCAGTGAGGGGCACCGTCTGCCCTGAATGAAAAAGTAAGCAGAATATTAGTATATAGATATTAAATACATAAAGTTTTCATTGGATATGAGTAACTCAAGGCTTTCTTTCAAGGAGGTCAGATATTCTGAACACTTACCATTGACACACACACACACAAATACAGGTTACACACACACACATGCACGCACACACACACACACACACACACACACTAAATTGTGCCTTATACTAAAATAGAGGGAATTGTTTTTTAAATTGCACAATGATTATTTTTCATTCAGGTCCAATTGAAAAGACCAAGGCAGGACAGAGGGGAGCCGCGATTTTGGAGCGAGAGAGAGGGGTAGAGATAGGATGGAAGGGAAGAGAGGGAGGGGGAGAGAGGCCCTGGAGAGGGAGGGAGAGAGAGGCCCTGGAGAGGGAGGGAGAGAGGCCCTGGAGAGGGAGGGAGAGAGAGGCCCTGGAGAGGGAGGGGGAGAGAGGCCCTGAAGAGGGAGGGGGAGAGAGGCCCTGGAGAGGGAGGGAGAGAGGCCCTGGAGAGGGAGGGAGAGAGGCCCTGGAGAGGGAGGGGGAGAGAGGCCCTGGAGAGGGAGGGGGAGAGAGGCCCTGGAGAGGGAGGGGAGAGAGAGGCCCTGGAGAGGGAGGGAGAGAGAGGCCCTGGAGAGGGAGGGGGAGAGAGGCCCTGAAGAGGGAGGGAGAGAGAGGCCCTGGAGAGGGAGGGGGAGAGAGGCCCTGAAGAGGGAGGGAGAGAGAGGCCCTGGAGAGGGAGGGGGAGAGAGGGCCTGAAGAGGGAGGGGAGAGAGAGGCCCTGGAGAGGGAGGGGAGAGAGGCCCTGGAGAGGGAGGGGGAGAGAGGCCCTGGAGAGGGAGGGGGAGAGAGGCCCTGGAGAGGGAGGGAGAGAGGCCCTGGAGAGGGAGGGGAGAGAGGCCCTGGAGAGGGAGGGAGAGAGAGGCCCTGGAGAGGGAGGGGGAGAGAGGCCCTGGAGAGGGAGGGGAGAGAGGCCCTGGAGAGGGAGGGGAGAGAGGCCCTGGAGAGGGAGGGAGAGAGAGGCCCTGGAGAGGGAGGGGGAGAGAGGCCCTGGAGAGGGAGGGAGAGAGGCCCTGGAGAGGGAGGGGGAGAGAGGCCCTGGAGAGGGAGGGGGAGAGAGGCCCTGGAGAGGGAGGGGAGAGAGGCCCTGGAGAGGGAGGGGGAGAGAGAGGCCCTGGAGAGGGAGGGGAGAGAGGCCCTGGAGAGGGAGGGGAGAGAGGCCCTGGAGAGGGAGGGGGAGAGAGGCCCTGGAGAGGGAGGGGGAGAGAGGCCCTGGAGAGGGAGGGAGAGAGGCCCTGGAGAGGGAGGGGGAGAGAGGCCCTGGAGAGGGAGGGGGAGAGAGGCCCTGGAGAGGGAGGGAGAGAGAGGCCCTGGAGAGGGAGGGAGAGAGGCCCTGGAGAGGGAGGGGGAGAGAGGCCCTGGAGAGGGAGGGAGAGAGGCCCTGGAGAGGGAGGGAGAGAGAGGCCCTGGAGAGGGAGGGAGAGAGGCCCTGGAGAGGGAGGGAGAGAGGCCCTGGAGAGGGAGGGAGAGAGGCCTGGAGAGGGAGGAGAGAGCCCTGGAGAGGGGAGGGAGAGAGAGGCCCTGGAGAGGGAGGGAGAGAGAGGCCCTGGAGAGGAGGGGGAGAGAGAGCCCTGGAGAGGGAGGGAGAGAGGCCCTGGAGAGGGAGGGAGAGAGGCCCTGGAGAGGGAGGGGAGAGAGGCCCTGGAGAGGGAGGGGGAGAGGCCCTGGAGGGAGGGAGGGGGAGAGAGGCCCTGGAGAGGGAGGGGGAGAGAGGCCCTGGAGAGGGAGGGGGAGAGAGGCCCTGGAGAGGGAGGGAGAGAGAGGCCCTGGAGAGGGAGGGGGAGAGGCCATGGCGTTGGAGAGAGAGAGGTTGTGATGAGGGAGAAAGAGAGAGAGAGGCCATAGTGAGAGAAGGAGAGAGGTGAGGCCGTGTTGTTTCTTGCGCAGCATTAAAACAGATGGTTCTGTGTTTATGAAGCGGAAGTGTTGGCGAACAGACTGTGGCTCTGAGCCAATGACAACGCAGCGATGCAAGTGTAAGAGGGAGGGACTGAGTGTGAGGGGGAGGGACCGTGCTTCTCTTCAGCCAAAGAGAGAGGTGGAGCTGGGACTGGGTCTGGGACTGGGTCTGGGACTGGGTCTGGATCTGCCTACAGTAGCACCCACAGAGCACCCACAGAGCACCCACAGAGCACTACAGAGCACTACAGAGCTCAGGTTGACTGTACAGACACCACCACGAGTGAGAGATTTTAAGGAATACTTTTAAACCCTCTTTGATATTTGTAATGTATGTAAAGCAAGGGTACCTCATTTTCAAACCCAAATTTCTTTCCACTAGTTTTCTTTTATTGTGTGCATCTCAAAACATTTATGTCACTAGTTTTCACATGTTTGTAATTTTACCTGTGCTAATCAGCTCTCAGACCAAAGTGTCAAATAGTCACTCACAGGGCTATTTCTAACACACAAAATAATAACATGTTTTCTAGTGAGTGGAAGACGTGTGTTATTTAAAGACATGTTTCCACCAGCCCTGTCTACTCTACTCTATTATACAATGCTCTACTCAGCTCTACTCCACTTTACTCTGCTCTGCTCTACTCTTCTGTGCTCTATTCTACTCTACTCTGGTGACCTCTGACCTCTCTGGAAAAGAGCCTACCTTACACCACAGTCTGTTGGCAGTCCGCCACAAGCCAGCTGTGACTACTGTAATAGCTTCCAATCACCATGCCTGAATGAATAATGCAATGTAAAGTCTTTGTCCAAAACAGTGCGATAAAAAAAATAAACTGGTCTGTTTTGAAGGCAGCGGCTCGAAGAGGTTGGGAACCACTGCCCTGACACTCACACTGGCAACATGAGCCAAGTGTGAGTGAAGGTAATCAGATTTTTCTGTCCAATTCTCCGACTGCAGCACCCGAGCTGATAACGATGTCACCCACAGCACCCAGGCTGGCAGCACCAACACCCAAGCAGCTCCTCGTGGCACCGCGGGGGTTGGGGAAGGGCTGTCGGTAAACCATTGTTCAAATTAGCACGTTCTACTTTTATAACAATCTCTCTCTCTCTCTCTCTCTCTGTCTGTCCTCGCGAAACAAACAACTACATATAAACAGTGTCATTCATAGCACCCAAGCTGCTAACGCAGTGGAGTGCTCGAGGTTGTCCCTGGATCTGGCACCCAAGCCCACCCACTGTTTAGAATTCATCGTTTTAAGTAGCTTCGATAGCTGGAGCTAGCAAAAACATACACCTGATGCCTGCTGAGCCTCATCCTGTTTGAATCTGTTAGTAGTTTGTCCTCTATATTAGACATATTCTGCACAACTGACATTTTTAAATATCACAACATTGTTCCTCATCAAAACAGACCTGGAGTTGTGTTTAGATCCATCCATGCTAACAATCAGGAACTCTGTTCAATCTAAAAGCTCCTCTCACAGCCATGTAATAGTATTATGTCATTGTACCACCATGACATAAACATGACATTACACTCAGATCATTTCTGCTTTTAAAACTGTATTGTCTATATTTAAGTTTTGGTCGATTCTCAGTTGAATTATAAAATTAGGGTGAAAAAAACCCAACCCAAATTCAACACCTCCCTCTAGTGGCAGCATAGGGATTTTCTTTTACCCTTCATACTTGTTCCATCATATATTTTCCACTTAAGATAACGTTTAAGCACGGTTTCCTAACAACCTGCCCACAAGAAACCAGCACTCTGTCCAATCAGTCAGTTAGAACACTTTTGCACCAGCTCGGCCTGGATAGAAGCAAGGCCAAGGGGAACTAAAGAAGGACCAGGGCCAGTGGAAACACTTCCAATCAGGGGAGAAATTGGTAGAGTAGAGAGTAAGGTAGAGTAGAGTTGCATATTGTAGAGTAGAGTAGAGCACAGTAGAGTTGAGTAGTGTAGTGAAGAGTAGGTCGTGACTGGTAGAAACAGTGCTTTTACGGAGTTACATAATGGAAAAAATCTACATTCTTTGTCAAATGAATTGTTACAAAGTTAGTGACATCACCTTTCCCCTACTCGCACAGAGTTGTTGTTGTTGAGTTCTGAGTGTGTGTAACGTCCTTTTCGCCGCCACAATAATGACGTTACCCACGCTCTATATGTCTTCACACCACGAGCCCGGCGCGCAATCAGCCTATAGGAAATCTGTCTAATTAGCCATCAGATTAATCAGTATGCTAATGAATCCTTATTGATACAGTTCCACTTCGGAGCGAGCGGGGCCAGCGGTGAAGAAGTCAATATGCTCTTCCCTTATGCCGCGCGTACGGGTGCCTCTGCCGCGCGTACGGGTGCCTCTGCCGCGCGTACGGGTGCCTCTGCCGCGCTTACGGGTGCCTCTGCCGCGCTTACGGGTGCCTCTGCCGCGCTTACGGGTGCCTCTGCCGCGCTTACGGGTGCCTCTGCCGCGCTTACGGGTGCCTCTGCCGCGCTTACGGGTGCCTCTGCCGCGCTTACGGGTGCCTCTGCCGCGCTTACGGGTGCCTCTGCCGCGCTTACGGGTGCCTCTGCCGCGCTTACGGGTGCCTCTGCCCAGTGTACAGTCAACCGTCTATACCTCCAGTCGCATCGCACCTCCCGACGTGTAAATGAAAGGCACACGCGGGTAATTAAAGCCAGGCCGAGTGGAGGCACACCCCTCATGGCACAGGCGGCGCAACCCTCAATTACGCGTGCCGAACGAGGCAATTAAAAAGTCTGTGTCCTGTGGAGCCTGCCCTGGGTCCTTACGCCAGCCCTCACACCTCCAGAGACCTCAGCCTGGTAATGACTATCGACCCGCCACAGTCAAACAACAATGTTATTTTGGACAAGTCTGTTTGAGCGGGTCGCCCAAGGTTCAAGAGATAGTGGCAAACAAGACCGGAGAATAGTAACTCACAATCTTCATGTACTCAAGTATTTAGCCCCCCCCCTCCCTTTTTTCTTGTAAACATCGGACTCACTGTGTGTTCGGATTAAGTTGTTCATCAATAATTGTTCATTGAAGTCACAGTCCTGAATTAACCTGATATGCTCATTTGTGGCTCTGCTGTAATCAATAATACTCAGACAGCCTCAGACCTGTAGCCTGAGTCCTGGATCTACAGTTACTTCATAACTGGATCTACAGTTACTTCATAACTGGATCTACAGCTTCAGTCCTGGGTTTCTGAATGTTTCCTTGACGACGCAGGAGGGTCTAAGGATGATCTGGGACATTTCTGGACATGTGTTAACATTTATGGACAGTGGTCATCTTGCTCCATTTGGACCTATGGCTCGTATGTGTTTGTTAAATTCACATTTTGTTCTTGTTTTCTTTATTCAATCCACTAGATTTCAAAGCTTTCAATATTTTCATATATTTTCACTTATTATACCTCATTTCATTGTGTTTTGTCGCCCAATGGGGGCTATTACTATGTATCTTCTGTAGTATTTTAAATATTTGTTCTTGAAGATGTACTTTTTCTTTTATAATGAGAATTTGTTATCTTAAATATTTTTAATGTTTTGTCTTTTTTATTTAATGTGTCTTCAAGCGTTTTCAGATTTCTAGCGTTTGTCGCGCCTCCAGGGCGGCCAACGCTAGAGTTGAACATTGTTGAACTTTTTGGACACATTAGCGAGCGTCGACCAATCAGGAGCTGTCTCCGTTAGTGACGTAGTGAATCATTTCCCGACTGTGCGGGAAGACAGGAAGACAACAAATGTATTACGACAAGCTGATAACTCAGGTTGGTGCTCGTTCAGAACTGTTTAACCCGGGAACTAAAACTACTGTGACAGAGTTGGAGGAGGGTTAGTGAGGAGGTTGATGTCTCGGGTAAGTTATTTAAACTTTTCACAATAGTTGATACTTGATGATACCCCGCTCAAAATCTCTAATGTTACCTTTAGGGAGAAACAAACCCACAGATGCAGCAGGAGGAGCAACAGCAGGAGGAGGAGCAGCAGGAGGAGCAGCAGGAGGAGCAGCAGGAGGAGGAGCAGCAGGAGGAGCAACAGCAGGAGGAGCAGCAGGAGGAGGAGCAGGAGGAGGAGGAGCAGCAGGAGGAGCAGCAGCAGGAGGAGCAGCAGAAGGAAGAGGAGGAGGAGCAGCAGGAGGAGCAGCAGGAGGAGGAGGAGCAGCAGGAGGAGGAGCAGCAGGAGGAGCAGCAGGAAGAGGAGCAGCAGGAGGAGGAGCAGCAGGAGGAGCAGCAGGAAGAGGAGCAGCAGGAGGAGGAGCAGCAGGAGGAGGAGCAGCAGGAGGAGCAGCAGGAAGAGGAGCAGCAGGAGGAGGAGCAGCAGGAGGAGGAGCAGCAGGAGGAGCAGCAGGAAGAGGAGCAGCAGGAGGAGGAGCAGCAGGAGGAGCAGGAGGAGGAGCGACAGGAGGAGCAACAGCAGGAAGAGGAGCAGCAGCAGTAGGAGCAGCAGGAGGAGGAGCAGCCGAGTCCTGGGTCATAGAAAAGAACCCGGAAATAAAAACATATTTTTTTTATGATGTAATTGTTTGTGTCTGAAGTGTGAAGCGTCATGAACAGTGAGGTATTATTTACACTACTACATATTTGTCAGAAGTACTTATACTTCTGTTTGAATACACTGAACTCTAATTTGATACGATTAGTAACAGTCTGTTTGCTTTTCAAGATTTCAGAATAACCAAGAGCAGTTTCAGGCATCTCCTGTTCTACTCTCTTCGCGCTGGAGGAAAAGTCCGAACAGACCTCTGATTTGACAATAAAGGGGGGTATTTCTCACCTCAAATGTTATTAGAATTAACTTTTAAAGCTTATTTAATTTTGTTTACCCTCCAGCATGGCCACTGTGCCTTTCCTCTCTGCTCCGCGAGCTCAAAACAGAACACTCAGTGAAAGCGTCTGTCATCAGTGAAAGCGTCTGTCATCAGTGAAAGCGTCTGTCATCAGTGAAAGCGTCTGTCATCAGTGAAAGCGTCTGTCATCAGTAAGCACAAGCGTCCAATGAGGCGCAAGGACGCATTTTTTGACGTTTCCGAAAAGCACACGTCTTTTCAATGCAATGGTATAATAAGGGTGTAATAACTGTGTAATAACTGTGTAATACAGGTGTAATACAGGTGTAATAGGGGCGTAATAAACTAACGAGGGCCTACTATTTGATGTTTTTGATGTTTTTCTGATATTTTTACGGTTGTTTTTGGTATGCAGTCACTCACATTTTCTAGTTACTGTCTTTGAACTGACTGATTCTCTGAAGATAACTTAAGAAGTGTTTTTGTAGTAACCTGATCCTGAGCTACGGCAGAGACTATGATGAATCGTGATTGTGTATAAAAGTGGCGCGTTTTGCTGAGCGAACAATATTTTTCTCTATGAGATGAAATTGGTAATTGTTTATCTATTCTCATTTAAAATCCATATCATTACTCATTCTTCTGCCTTGGCTGCCCTCCACACTCAGCCCTCCACACTCAGCCCTCCTGGAGCTGCGTGGAACCAGGGGCTGTGTGCTCTGCCTCTCCCCTGCTCACAAACACTAGCCCTGGGGTTAAGGGATTAGAATATGAGCGTGTAGCTGGAAGGGAAGAATATCTTAGGTGCTACGCCAAGCCCCTGAGGGCCCCTCCAAAGGCTCTTCAGATGTTAATATGCAGTAATAGAAAAGGGAGTGTAGGATTCCAGGAAAGATCTGAAAAATCTGAGCGAGGTCTGGAAATTAGAAACTGCTGAGTTTTAGAAAAGTGATTTAATTATTTATGTGCGGAATTATAATTTTAGAGAAGCAGAAATTGTGCAACAAAAGCTTTGTTGAGGAGTTGAACTTTGAACACTCAGGTCTTCATCAGGAGGACTGCTGATGCTCTCTCTCTCTGGCCTCTCTCTCTCTCTGGACTCTCTGGTCTCCCTCTGGTCTCTGGTCTCCCTCTGGTCTCTCTCTCTCTCTGGACTCTCTGGTCTCCCTCTGGTCTCTGGTCTCTCTCTCTCTCTGGACTCTCTCTGGACTCTCTGGTCTCTGGTCTCTCTCTGGTCTCTCTCTCTCTCTGGACTCTCTGGTCTCCCTCTGGTCTCTGGTCTCTCTCTGGACTCTCTGGTCTCTGGTCTCTCTCTCTGGTCTCTCTCTGGTCTCTGGTCTCTCTCTGGTCTCTCTCTCTCTGGACTCTCTGGTCTCCCTCTGGTCTCTGGTCTCTCTCTGGTCTCTCTCTCTCTCTGGACTCTCTGGTCTCCCTCTGGTCTCTGTGATCTCTCTCACTCTAAACACTCTCTGGTCTCTTTCTTAACCTGGACTCACTTGAGGAAATAGGTGGAGTCCTTTACGGTCATAATGCGTTCTTTTCTTAACTTCACTTAGTTGTTTTTGCTTCACTCAATGACCATAACCTTGTTCTCATACAGCTAACCCAGTCTGAGGACCTGATTGGAGACTCCTACCCCTCTCTCATCCTCCTCCTAGGCCTCAGCGACAGTCGGCCTCATGATCTGTGGAGGATGAAGATGAACAGCTGGATTACGATCGTTAAAGCGACATGACGGATACAGTGACGAGCTTTTCATCTGAAAGACTCTTCCTGTAATAATATTGAAACAGACGTCTGCAGCTAATTATCATCTATTAACGAGCAATCTGCCCCTGATCGGAGGAAAGGACGCCGAGTTAGAGACACTCACACAGATACACATGCATACACACAAACATACACACATACAGACGCAGATACAGAGATACACATGCAAACACACAAACACACATACAGACGCAGATACAGAGATACACATGCAAACACACAAACATACACACATACAGACGCAGATACAGAGATACACATGCAAACACACAAACATACACACATACAGACGCAGATACAGAGATACACATGCAAACACACAAACATACACACATACAGACGCAGATACAGAGATACACATGCAAACACACAAACATACACACATACAGACGCAGATACAGAGATACACATGCAAACACACAAACATACACACATACAGACGCAGATACAGAGATACACATGCAAACACACAAACATACATACATACAGACGCAGATACAGAGATACACATGCACACACACAAACATACACACATACAGACGCAGATACAGAGATACACATGCACACACACAAACATACACACATACAGACGCAGATACAGAGATACACATGCAAACACACAAACATACACACATACAGACGCAGATACAGAGATACACATGCACACACACAAACATACATACATACAGACGCAGATACAGAGATACACATGCACACACACAAACATACACACATACAGACGCAGATACAGAGATACACATGCACACACACAAACATACATACATACAGACGCAGATACAGAGATACACATGCACACACACAAACATACACACATACAGACGCAGATACAGAGATACACATGCAAACACACAAACATACACACATACAGACGCAGATACACAGATACACATGCAAACACACAAACATACACACATACAGACGCAGATACAGAGATACACATGCAAACACACAAACATACACACATACAGACGCAGATACAGAGATACACATGCACACACACAAACATACACACATACAGACGCAGATACAGAGATACACATGCACACACACAAACATACACACATACAGACGCAGATACAGAGATACACATGCAAACACACAAACATACACACATACAGACGCAGATACAGAGATACACATGCACACACACAAACATACACACATACAGACGCAGATACAGAGATACACATGCACACACACAAACATACACACATACAGACGCAGATACAGAGATACACATGCAAACACACAAACATACACACATACAGACGCAGATACAGAGATACACATGCAAACACACAAACATACACACATACAGACGCAGATACAGAGATACACATGCAAACACACAAACATACACACATACAGACGCAGATACAGAGATACACATGCAAACACACAAACATACACACATACAGACGCAGATACAGAGATACACATGCAAACACACAAACATACATACATACAGACGCAGATACAGAGATACACATGCACACACACAAACATACATACATACAGACGCAGATACAGAGATACACATGCACACACACAAACATACACACATACAGACGCAGATACAGAGATACACATGCAAACACACAAACATACACACATACAGACGCAGATACAGAGATACACATGCAAACACACAAACATACATACATACAGACGCAGATACAGAGATACACATGCACACACACAAACATACACACATACAGACGCAGATACAGAGATACACATGCAAACACACAAACATACACACATACAGACGCAGATACAGAGATACACATGCACACACACAAACATACATACATACAGACGCAGATACAGAGATACACATGCACACACACAAACATACACACATACAGACGCAGATACAGAGATACACATGCACACACACAAACATACATACATACAGACGCAGATACAGAGATACACATGCACACACACAAACATACACACATACAGACGCAGATACAGAGATACACATGCAAACACACAAACATACACACATACAGACGCAGATACACAGATACACATGCAAACACACAAACATACACACATACAGACGCAGATACAGAGATACACATGCAAACACACAAACATACACACATACAGACGCAGATACAGAGATACACATGCAAACACACAAACATACACACATACAGACGCAGATACAGAGATACACATGCACACACACAAACATACACACATACAGACGCAGATACAGAGATACACATGCACACACACAAACATACACACATACAGACGCAGATACAGAGATACACATGCACACACACAAACATACACACATACAGACGCAGATACAGAGATACACATGCAAACACACAAACATACACACATACAGACGCAGATACAGAGATACACATGCAAACACACAAACATACACACATACAGACGCAGATACAGAGATACACATGCAAACACACAAACATACATACATACAGACGCAGATACAGAGATACACATGCACACACACAAACATACACACATACAGACGCAGATACAGAGATACACATGCAAACACACAAACATACACACATACAGACGCAGATACAGAGATACACATGCAAACACACAAACATACACACATACAGACGCAGATACAGAGATACACATGCACACACACAAACATACACACATACAGACGCAGATACAGAGATACACATGCACACACACAAACATACACACATACAGACGCAGATACAGAGATACACATGCACACACACAAACATACACACATACAGACGCAGATACAGAGATACACATGCAAACACACAAACATACACACATACAGACGCAGATACAGAGATACACATGCAAACACACAAACATACACACATACAGACGCAGATACAGAGATACACATGCAAACACACAAACATACATACATACAGACGCAGATACAGAGATACACATGCACACACACAAACATACACACATACAGACGCAGATACAGAGATACACATGCACACACACAAACATACACACATACAGACGCAGATACAGAGATACACATGCACACACACAAACATACATACATACAGACGCAGATACAGAGATACACATGCACACACACAAACATACACACATACAGACGCAGATACAGAGATACACATGCAAACACACAAACATACACACATACAGACGCAGATACACAGATACACATGCAAACACACAAACATACACACATACAGACGCAGATACAGAGATACACATGCAAACACACAAACATACACACATACAGACGCAGATACAGAGATACACATGCACACACACAAACATACATACATACAGACGCAGATACAGAGATACACATGCACACACACAAACATACACACATACAGACGCAGATACAGAGATACACATGCACACACACAAACATACATACATACAGACGCACATACAGAGATACACATGCACACACACAAACATACACACATACAGACGCAGATACAGAGATACACATGCAAACACACAAACATACACACATACAGACGCAGATACAGAGATACACATGCAAACACACAAACATACACACATACAGACGCAGATACACAGATACATGCTAAAGATAACATTTGGTAACTAGATGCTTTATGTTGATGTATTTTTGTCCATCCATCCATTTTCTAACCTGGCAACAGCCAGATTGATGATTGCGTAGGACTCAAATGCGTTCTCCACAATATCAATCTGGGAATTCTGTGTTGCATTAAAGTGTAGATGTATAAGAAAACAAGTTTAGGATGACAATGGACACTAAAATCCCCACAAAATCCAACTTTTATGAAATCTGTAGGTTCTGTGTCAGCTGAGGTTGAACTGTATTACTTTACAATGAGTTGTATGGGACATTTATCTGGGTAGCCCACGTGAATTTAGTCCACAGTACTGCGGGCGCCCCTGTGCCCATTGGTGGGACAGCTATAAGCTAGTAATAACCTATTCAGATATTATTATAGGTCCATGGCCTGAACCCACAACCTTCAGGCCCAAAGGCCAATGCTCTACACACTGAGACACTATGGTTTGTTTGTGTTGTGTTATTAAAAATGTATACAAAATGGGAACAAACAAGGAAAGATCATACTTTATGAAACAAAGTAAGAAGGTCCCTAAAAATCAAAAAAATAATGTCTTTGTGAAAAGTGCTCCCTCAGCGCTCCTGCAAACAGCCGTCGACCTGCAGCGATACCCCCCTTGCGTGCCGTCATACCCCCGCTTATAATTCCCCCTCCCATTGGAAAGCTACATATTTGGTTTGGAACTCCCCACCTCAGGGCGTGGGGGAGTTGTGGAGGCACATGATTGGAGGGGCCCTGGAGCTCAGGGGGTCACAGGTGTGTGTCCCCAGGAGCCCTCATGCTCCTCTGGGGAGGAGATGGTTGTCGCACGCTCTGTGACTCACGCCGCCTCAGCCTCTTTTCAAGAACTTTAACAAATAATCTGGTAACGCAGACATGTCGATTGCAGCTCAAGATTGCAAATGATGAGAGAGAACATAATGCTAGCTGCGCTTTGTTAGCTGTGCTATGTTAACTGTGCTATGTTAGCTCTGTTGGAAACTTGTTTGGTAAAGGTGAGTCTGGGGAACAGAGGAAAGAGTACTTTCTGTTTCCTAGAAGAGGGGTTAGGGGTAAATTATTTTTGGTCAGGGCAGCATTTAAAAAGCAGTATTTAAAAAGGAAACGCTGGTCAACAGCTGAAAATATAAAAGTGGTTTTCTGTCACTTCAGATCAGCTTGTTCAGACAGGAAAGCGAAGGCAGGACCACCCTCACTCAGCCAATCAGCTCTCAGCCACAATAGTGATTCACAATGCTCATCCTAAGTATGCAGAAGATGTTTTTAATAAGATGAGTTTAGCATGTTGTGGTCTGAGAGACTAAACAACCCTTAACGTGTATGACAACAGTCAGGTACCTCAGCTTCAAACTTTTCGTCCATAAACTTTATTTATACATTGACAAATTTAGTGGCTCCTGTGGACTCAGCACCTGCAGGAGGATCAGTGAGGGGCTGGTGCTCTGTGACTGGGTGCAGCTCTGACTGCCACCCCCTCGACCCTGCAATGGATTAAGGGGAAGAAAATGGATGGATGAAAGATTTATTGAACAGGGACAATGCATTTGTTCACTGGTAAAGCAAAAGAAACTATAGCAAATGCTAACTCTCAGCTCCACACCCTGGGCCTTATTTATGAAACTTGCGTACGGCCAAATCAGGATGTAAATGAGGCGTACACAAAAATTGTACACTTTTCGGTATTTATCAATCTGAACGTGTACAGAACGTACAGTACTCACAAAATAAACGCCAAGTTAGTATGTGTAAATGTGTACGCTCATTTCAACCTTCATTACAACACGCCAAAAACACGCATGAAATGCAAGATTTGGACAAACAATAAACATTTTCCCAGTCTGGTAAAATTATGAGCATCACATTTCTAAATTTGAATTTGCGCATTAGAAAAACTCCAACACTCATTCTAACTCTAACACGCACTGTTTGAATAAATCATAGATCGTGATGAAGACCCTCTTCTGTTTCTTTGTTTTAAAATCTGAGTTGGAAGTGTATTATTTGCTTCTGTATGTTTAAAAAAAAAAAGTGAAGCGCCTTATGATCCTGGTCTGTGAAAGGCGCTATACAAATACACTTGACTTACTTACTAACTTAATGTGTGACCCGCCCCGCACTGCGTAAATACGCATGGCTATTTGTTTTGCCTCATTCAAAGCAATGCATTTTCTTTAGTTTTGTGCATGAAGCCCCATAAACATGGTCTCACTCAAAACTGTCTCAGCCACGTGCACTGCCCTGTCCCCATGTAGAGGATGGCCATGTGCTTATCTGTAGGAACGGCTCACAGGCAGTGGCCCTTTGGGCAGTGCACAGCGGTGCCACAGAGGTCCCACCGCATGACTCGCCATATGGGGTCATTCAGACGTTTGGATCCAGAGTTTCTCTGTGAAATCACGGACACTTCCCAAAAGCTTACGTATCCTTTCTCTCGCACAGAGATTGCTCCAGTGCATTCACAAGAAGATTCCGCAGACGCTTCACCCGGTTAACGATGAGCCACCGCTGAGATATTAAGATTCCTTCATTCATTCAGTCATTGATTCATTTATTCATTCACTTATAAAGTTCAAGAGAGATGAGTGCTGCAGTGGGTCACTATAGGGAAAAATGCATATACATAAATTAGCGTATATTTCTTTTTAAACAAAATTATAAAACACAACTCAATATAAACTCTTTATTTTCATAAATACATTTTCATAAATACGCTGGTTTTGAGAGCGGCATTTCTCAACACCCGCAGGTGCGTACGCTCAGATCCGTGCGGCTCTCACACGTTCATAAATCCTGCGCTGGATTTTGCATAATTGGAATCTACACCAAAAATATACACCCTTTTCTGCGCAAGTTTCCTAAATGAGGGCCCCTGGGAGGGCTACTTATAGTGTGTGAGTGACTGTTGCTGGTAGGAGTGGCCGATGGCACAGAACGGTTGCCTCACTTCAGTCTGTGAAAGACACACACCGAACAGAAGAAACAGTTCAGGTCCGTGGAGCCTAGAGTCGTCTTAGTCTGTCAGAGAGTATAACGACCTCATGCTTTTGAACAGTACTTATTGTCACTTAAAGACTTTACTCATGTATCGATAGAAACGCAATCTGTAACTTTAGCAGTCTGAGTCTGCCCTGTTCTGATTACACCCCCTCTCAACCCCCCCCCCTCTCCTCACTTAACTCAAGAAGCATTGTGGGAGGGGGTACTGATTACTTAATTGCTTGTAAGAGCTCGTTATGGCTTCCTATCCATCATACAGTGGTGGAGAGTGATGTGATGAGGCATGTATGTTTGACAAATTCTTCGAGAGAATCTCTATTCCTCGCTTCTCCTGTGGTCTGACGACTTATGGACTTCAGTCAAACACACGCACGCACACGTACGCGTGCACATACACACACGCACGCGTACGCACGCGCACACGCACACACACATACAGGCCTTTACAGCCTTCTCTCAGTTTCTGTTTCAGCAGGTGCAGGATTAGAATTGGATGCTGTTGGTATTAATTGGTGATCATTTGCAAAGCGGGAGGGAGAAGGCAGGGAGAGAGTCTTTTGCCAAGAGCGATGTCTTACAAGCCCCCAGCTGGGGCTGTGGGGGCGGTCGGGGGGAGGTTGGGGGCTGAGGGGCAGGCCTGTTGGCATTGTGGCAGCATATGTTTGGTGCCAAGAACACCAACCATTTGCATTTCTTTTCTCTGTTTTTTACAAAGCCGAATGCTCTTTTGTGTACAAGTGATCCCGAAAGTGAGTGTTGCAATTAATCACAAGTGAAATTTATCGGCTGATGAAAAGCCATGATTCTACTGCATTTTCTCTCCTTTTTTTAAAAGAGAAAGTGTTAGCATCTGCAGTGCACTTCGCACTCGCCGTGTGATGAATGGGTCTTTAAAGCAGAGCAGTTTGGCTCCATTTAAAACCAGTTTGAAGGGAGGGAACAGGCTGTGCTCGGGCTGGAGGCTCCGACCCAGCTCCTTTGAGTTCGGGCAGGAGGCAGAGACACACAGCTCCTCTGGGTTCAGGCAGGAGGCAGAGACACACAGCTCCTCTGGGTTCAGGCAGGAGGCAGAGACACACAGCTCCTCTGGGTTCAGGCAGGAGGCAGAGACACACAGCTCCTCTGGGTTCAGGCAGGAGGCAGAGACACACAGCTCCTCTGGGTTCAGGCAGGAGGCAGAGACACACAGCTCCTCTGGGTTCAGGCAGGAGGCAGAGACACACAGCTCCTCTGGGTTCAGGCAGGAGGCAGAGACACACAGCTCCTCTGGGTTCGGGCAGGAGGCAGAGACACACAGCTCCTCTGGGTTCAGGCAGGAGGCAGAGACACACAGCTCCTCTGGGTTCAGGCAGGAGGCAGAGACACACAGCTCCTCTGGGTTCGGGCAGGAGGCAGAGACACACAGCTCCTTTGAGTTCGGGCAGGAGTCAGAGACACACAGCTCCTTTGAGTTCGGGCAGGAGTCAGAGACACACAGCTCCTCTGGGTTCAGGCAGGAGGCAGAGACACACAGCTCCTCTGGGTTCGGGCAGGAGGCAGAGACACACAGCTCCTCTGGGTTCGGGCAGGAGGCAGAGACACACAGCTCCTCTGGGTTCGGGCAGGAGGCAGAGACACACAGCTCCTCTGGGTTCGGGCAGGAGGCAGAGACACACAGCTCCTCTGGGTTCAGGCAGGAGGCAGAGACACAACAGCTCCTTTGAGTTCGGGCAGGAGTCAGAGACACACAGCTCCTCTTTCGGGCAGGAGGCAGAGACACACAGCTCCTCTTTCGGGCAGGAGGCAGAGACACACAGCTCCTCTGGGTTCAGGCAGGAGGCAGAGACACACAGCTCCTCTGGGTTCGGGCAGGAGGCAGAGACACACAGCTCCTCTGGGTTCAGGCAGGAGGCAGAGACACACAGCTCCTCTGGGTTCAGGCAGGAGGCAGAGACACACAGCTCCTCTGGGTTCGGGCAGGAGGCAGAGACACACAGCTCCTCTGGGTTCGGGCAGGAGGCAGAGACACACAGCTCCTCTGGGTTCAGGCAGGAGGCAGAGACACACAGCTCCTCTGGGTTCAGGCAGGAGGCAGAGACACACAGCTCCTCTGGGTTCAGGCAGGAGGCAGAGACACACAGCTCCTCTGGGTTCAGGCAGGAGGCAGAGACACACAGCTCCTCTGGGTTCGGGCAAGGAGGCAGAGACACACAGCTCCTCTGGGTTCAGGCAGGAGGCAGAGACACACAGCTCCTCTGGGTTCAGGCAGGAGGCAGAGACACACAGCTCCTCTGGGTTCAGGCAGGAGGCAGAGACACACAGCTCCTCTGGGTTCAGGCAGGAGGCAGAGACACACAGCTCCTCTGGGTTCAGGCAGGAGGCAGAGACACACAGCTCCTCTGGGTTCGGGCAGGAGGCAGAGACACACAGCTCCTCTGGGTTCAGGCAGGAGGCAGAGACACACAGCTCCTCTGGGTTCAGGCAGGAGGCAGAGACACACAGCTCCTCTGGGTTCAGGCAGGAGGCAGAGACACACAGCTCCTCTGGGTTCAGGCAGGAGGCAGAGACACACAGCTCCTCTGGGTTCAGGCAGGAGGCAGAGACACACAGCTCCTCTGGGTTCAGGCAGGAGGCAGAGACACACAGCTCCTCTGGGTTCAGGCAGGAGGCAGAGACACACAGCTCCTCTCTGGGTTCGGGCAGGAGGCAGAGACACACAGCTCCTCTGGGTTCAGGCAGGAGGCAGAGACACACAGCTCCTCTGGGTTCGGGCAGGAGGCAGAGACACACAGCTCCTCTGGGTTCAGGCAGGAGGCAGAGACACACAGCTCCTCTGGGTTCAGGCAGGAGGCAGAGACACACGGCTCCTCTGGGTTCGGGCAGGAGGCAGAGACACACGGCTCCTCTGGGTTCGGGCAGGAGGCAGAGACACACAGCTCCTCTGGGTTCGGGCAGGAGGCAGAGACCCGGCTTCTCTGTACTGATACAGACCCCCGGCTTCTCTGTACTGATACAGACCCCCGGCTTCTCTGTGCTCTGGCAGAGATGAATCTCCAGTAAAGTTTTGAAAAAGTCAGATTGTTTATTGTTCAATGAAAAATAAAAATTTAGGATTTTCACCTCTTTCTTACAGTTTCTTTTTTGTTTCTTTTGCGGTATTACAAATGTACATTCACTTGATAAATGATAATAATAATAACAATAATAATGCAACAGTTTTCTATAGTGCTTTTTCGGACCCTCAAAGACGCTTCAAATGTCATTATTCATTCACTCCATACACGGAGGTGATAAACTACTACTGTAGCCACAGCTGGGCACATTGACAGAAGCGAGGCCCCTCCGACCACCACCAACCATTCACACACCAGACTCATTCTAGGCAATGTGGGTGAAGTGTCTTGCCTAAGGACAAAACGGCACTTTGGAACTTTACAGCCACAGCCGCCCTACTGAGGCACCTGGGATTCCTAGAGGTTAAGTGTCTTGGCAAGGACACAACGACTGCAGACATGAGTCCAATGCTCTACCTACTGAGCCTCTGTCACTCTACACTGTCCTTTCGCTAAAGTCAGAAGTCTTCCCCGTGTGCTGGTCCTCCCTGTGGGCTGGTCCTCCCTGTGGGCAGGTCCTCCCTGTGGGCTGGTCCTCCCTGTGGGCTGGTCCTCCCTGTGGGCTGGTCCTCCCTGTGGGCAGGTCCTCCCTGTGGGCTGGTCCTCCCTGTGGGCAGGTCCTCCCTGTGGGCTGGTCCTCCCTGTGGGCTGGTCCTCCCTGTGGGCAGGTCCTCCCTGTGGGCTGGTCCTCCCTGTGGGCTGGTCCTCCCTGTGGGCAGGTCCTCCCTGTGGGCTGGTCCTCCCTGTGGGCAGGTCCTCCCTGTGGGCAGGTCCTCCCTGTGGGCTGGTCCTCCCTGTGGGCTGGTCCTCCCTGTGGGCAGGTCCTCCCTGTGGGCTGGTCCTCCCTGTGGGCAGGTCCTCCCTCTGGGCTGGTCCTCCCTGTGGGCTGGTCCTCCCTGTGGGCTGGTCCTCCCTGTGGGCTGGTCCTCCCTCTGGGCTGGTCCTCCCTGTGGGCTGGTCCTCCCTGTGGGCTGGTCCTCCCTGTGGGCTGGTCCTCCCTGTGGGCTGGTCCTCCCTGTGGGCTGGTCCTCCCTGTGGGCTGGTCCTCCCTCTGGGCTGGTCCTCCCTGTGGGCTGGTCCTCCCTGTCGGCTGGTCCTCCCTGTGGGCTGGTCCTCCCTCTGGGTTTAAATCTGTGTTTTAACTCTTGGTGATCCTGTTGTTTATATCGTGACATTTTGTTTTTGTATATCCAGATATGAGCCATATAAGGATTGATGATGATATGATGATTACAAATAAAGATTTATTGGTTGATGTCTTTATTTGTGCAGAACAAGATGGCGCCTCGTACGGTCGACATGGCTCTTTGCTGCTCTCTTTTTCTTTTGTTTTTACTTTTTAACTGTGCATCTGGCTGTTCCTACACCCGTGAGGAACTTATGAACATCCGACCCACCGTTCCCATGGACCTATTGCCTGTTTTCTTGGCATCTGCGGCTGATTTAGTTCATGTTCTAGCCAAAAAAGTGTGGGCCCGTAAAAGGGGAAAGCGCGGAGGCCTGCTCGTGCGTCTTAGGAGGAGAGGAGCCTCTCCCCGGCATTTTTCTCTCCAACGTACGCTCACTGGGCAATAAGATGGACGAACTCAGCCTGCTCATGAGAAGAAACAAGGACTTCGCCACATCCTGTGTCCTCTGCTTCACTGAGACCTGGCTAAATGAGCGGATCCCGGACTGCGCTCTGGAGCTGCAGGGCTTTGGGCTGTTTCGCGCGGATCGCCATTGTGCGCTCTCAGGGAAGAGCAGAGGCGGTGGGCTGTGTTTCTACGTCAATACAAACTGGTGTAACGATGTGACAGTGATCTCCAAGCACTGCTCTCCTGCTCTGGAATATCTTTTCATTCATTGTAAACCATATTACTCCCCGCGGGAAATTGTTTCATTCATTCTTGCCTCTGTTTACATACCGCCATGCGCGGACGCGCGCGAGGCTCAGCGCGCACTCGCAGAGCAAGTACTGTGTATGGAACGCTTATACCCGGACTCTCTGATTATTATCCTGGGGGATTTTAATAAGGGAAACTTGAGCCAGGAATTACCCAAATACAGACAGTTTATCAAATGCCCGACCAGAGAGGAGAACACTCTGGATCACTGTTACACCACCGTGCGCGGAGCTTTTCGCGCTGTTCCCAAGCCAGCCCTCGGCTTCTCAGATCACTCCATGATACATCTGGTTCCTGCTTACAGACAGAGACTAAAGCTCTCGAAACCTGCAGTGAGGAGCTCCAAAGTGTGGTCTGATGAAGCTGTGGAAGAGCTGCATGCATGGAATCTACAGACTGGGACCTTTTCAGAGCTGCCACAGACAGCTTGGATGAATATACGGACACTGTGACGTCATACATCCACTTCTGTGAGGATAGCATCATTCCAACAAGGACCAGGGTCATCTATAACAACGACAAACCCTGGTTCACTGCTAAACTCCGGCAGCTCAGGAAAGCAAAGGAGTCTGCTTTCAGGGAGGGGGACCGCAGCCGCTACAAAGCAGCTAAATATCAGTTCAGGAAAGAACTGAAAGCAGCCAAGTCTCGGCACAGAGAACGACTACAGGAGCAGTTTGGTAACAACGATACTGCTTCTGTCTGGAGGGGCCTACGGGAGATCACCAACTACAAACCCAAAGCCCCCCCCTGTGCTGATGACCACAAGCTAGCTGACGATCTGAACTTATTTTTCAGTCGCTTTGATGCTGCCCCTGACACCTCCCCCACCCCCCACTACTCTAACGACCCACCCATCAGCCCTGCCCCCAGCCTAACAATAGCCGCTAAAGAGATTAAACAACTCTTCCTGAGGCTGCACCCCCGCAAAGCTCCTGGCCCGGACCACGTGTCTCCGGCCACTCTGAGACACTGCGCCAGTGAGCTTACTCCTGTGTTCACGGACATTTTCAACACCTCTCTGCAGTCCTGCCATGTCCCGGCCTGCTTCAAATCCTCCATCATTGTCCCCGTCCCGAAGAAGCCCAGGATCACAGGACTCAACGACTACAGACCTGTAGCACTTACGTCTGTCGTCATGAAGTCTTTTGAACGCCTGGTTCTCTCCCATCTCAAGTCCCTCACCTCCCCCCTCCTGGACCCCCTGCAGTTCGCCTACAGAGCCAACAGATCTGTAGACGACGCCATTAACCTGGCCCTCCACCACATCCTACAGCACCTGGACCCCCCGGGGACCTACGCCAGGGTCCTGTTCGTGGACTTCAGCTCTGCCTTCAACACAATCCTGCCATCCCTGCTCCAGGACAAGCTCTCCCAGCTCAACGTGCCCGATTCCACCTGCAGGTGGATCACTGACTTCCTGACGGACAGGAAGCAGCGAGTGCGTCTGGGGAAGAATGTCTCGGACTCTCGGATTATAAATACAGGAGCCCCACAGGGCTGTGTTCTTTCTCCCCTGCTCTTCTCCCTGTACACCAACCACTGCACCTCCAGCCACGACTCCGTGAAGCTGATCAAGTTCGCGGACGACACCACCCTCATTGGACTCATCTCCAACAACGATGAGTCCGCCTACAGGAGGGAGGTGGACCGGCTGGTGTCCTGGTGCAGTGGTAACAACCTGGAGCTGAACGCCCAGAAGACAGTGGAGATGATTGTGGACTTCAGGAAGAGCACTGTCCCCCCGCCCCCACCCTCCGTGATGGACTCCCCCATCACCTCTGTGGAGTCCTTCCGTTTCCTGGGCACCACCATCACCCAGGACCTCAAGTGGGAGCCGACCATCAGCTCCCTCATCAAGAAGGCCCAGCAGAGGATGTACTTCCTGCGGCAGCTCAGGAAAGCCAAGCTGCCTGCACAGATGTTGGTGCAGTTCTACACGGCCATCATCGAGTCCATCCTCACCTCCTCCATCACCTCCTCCATCACCTCCTCCATCACCTCCTCCATCACCGTGTGGTTCGCTGGAGCCACAGTCAGGGACAAACAGAGACTACAGCGCATTGTGCGCTCTGCAGAGGAAGTGATCGGCCGCAGCCTTCCATCGCTGCAGGACCTGTACGTCGCCCGAGCTCGAGGCCGGGCTGGTCGTATCACAGCCGACCCCTCTCACCTGCACATGGACTATTCCAACCACTCCCCTCTCACCTGCACATGGACTATTCCAACCACTCCCCTCTCACCTGCACATGGACTATTCCAACCACTCCCCTCTCACCTGCACATGGACTATTCCAACCACTCCCCTCTCACCCTGCACATGGACTATTCCAACCACTCCCCTCTCACCTGCACATGGACTATTCCAACCATTCCCCTCTCACCTGCACATGGACTATTCCAACCACTCCCCTCAGGCAGGAGGCTGCGGTCCATCAGGACTAGAACCTCCCGCCACAAGAACAGTTTCTTCCCCTCTGCTGTTGGACTCTTGAACACTTCTTAACCTGTCCCCCCGCCCTTTATAAAGTCACTTTACTTCCCATCATACGTCACTTTACTTCACTGTACTGCTGTCACCTTACATTGTGTGCTCCATGTGCACTTGTATATTGTAAATAGTAACTGTAACTCTATTTTAAATTTAAATTTATTCTTTAGAAGTGTTTTTTATTCTTATTTTTATTATCTCTTTTTGACTGTTGCACTGAGCCAAAGCAATTTCCAAGTCTGTGACCTCCCGTTACTTACGTTGGCAATAAAAATGATTCTGATTCTGATTCTGAAACTCTTGCTTGCCTTAGCAGCCGTCTCACCAACACTATGCTGTGGAACAAATGCCCATATAAGGACCTTTACTCCAGCCAACTTATGTTCAAATCGGCCTCTTCTGCAGGGCTAACACTATGGTGATGTCACACCTCAGTCCACTCCTGATTTACCCTGTATGGTCTTTAGGAGAATGGAGTTCACCAAGCTCCACTGTAGCTCTGTTTTGTACGGAATGCCTCAGCTGCAGGTGGCTCCACAGGTCCACAGTGACCGCCATAGAGCCAAACTTTTTTCCATTCAGCAGCACTTTTGTGTGTCACCAGTTCTGAAGCCGCAGCATTTCCCTCTTCCAAAGATAATGATTAACAAAATGCCTCTCATCAAAGAATTCATTAACAACCAGCGTTAATTAAAAAATAAATGAGTAAACATCAATATGATGTGCGTGCAGTGCAGAGGAACATTATGCAGAGTAATGATGTTTCTGGGGCTGGAGCCGCTCGCTGGGACCCGCTGAGGCCCTCACTGGGACGCCGCTGAGGCCTTCAGCTCTTCGGCTGTTGCTTATTTTGCAAGCCTTTGTTGTTTGACAACAAAGAGAACGGGCCTCGTTAATGTTATATTAATCAGAAGATTAATATTTCAATTTGATTTGCTTTATAGTTGAGGTGCTGTTGGCATTTCCACTTTCCCTCCATATGTGCAGCCATTTTAAGTGCTATCATTACCATTTTCTACCTGGGGGTTCCAGATAACAGGCACACTGATAGCTCTATTGGGCATAGGGGAGGAGAACGGGGTTGAGGGGAGGGTGAGGAGGGGCAGAGGGGGTGAGGGGAGGGTACAGGGGGTGAGCAGAGGAGGGAACATGCATTTTTAAAGCCCTTGTTTGGCGCCTTCAGATCCATTATTCCTCTGACACTCACAAACAGCTGAGTCACTGCTTTGACAGGGGAACACACTGCCCAGCGAGCCTGCCCAGCGAGCCTGCCCAGCGAGCCTGCCCAGCGAGCCTGCCCAGCGAGCCTACCCAGCGAGTACCCAGCGAGCCTGCCCAGCGAGCCTGCCCAGCGAGCCTGCCCAGCGAGCCTACCCAGCGAGCCTGCCCAGCGAGCCTACCCAGCGAGCCTGCCCAGCGAGCCTACCCAGCGAGCCTGCCCAGCGAGCCTGCCCAGCGAGCCTGCCCAGCGAGCCTGCCCAGCGAGCCTGCCCAGCGAGCCTGCCCAGCGAGCCTGCCCAGCGAGCCTGCCCAGCTGCCCAGCGAGCCTACCCAGCGAGCCTGCCCAGCGAGCCTGCCCAGCGAGCCTGCCCAGCGAGCCTGCCCAGCGAGCCTGCCCAGCGAGTCCGCTCTGAGATCCCACCTTGCGACCCCAACCTGTCAGCCTTCTCTGCAAGCCTGAATTGTAACTGCTAATTTACACAGAAGGCGTTACAGCCAAGGGTTGTATGTGCAACATTTTTCCATTTTAACTTATGGCGATATTTACACTACTATTGTTATACGGTTGTGTGGCAGATGTATTGACGCGAGGCTGTGCCTAAATTAGAACAAATTTCTAATTTTGCGAGCGCAGTAACACATCTCCCAGTCAAAAAACACATGGGAAACATGATTTTTCTAGCGGTCCTGGGCTCTAGTTCACCTTCACACACACAGCACCTGTATCTAAACATTAGCTGGCAGGTTTCATAGTGATTCTGGACTTTTTTTTTCCTTCATTAAGTCTCGTCTGGCCACACCAGCTCACACAGACCATGAGGACGAACACATAGATGTGATTTTTGTTTCTCTACGTCAGTTTTCTGGCCTGTACTGTCTTCTACACTTCTCCATAGACAACACAGGGACGTCATCAGCACCCGCGTACCTGCAAGCACGACTAGCGTTACACAGCTGCGTAATGTTACACGGGTCAACGCTTCTGTGCTGTGAACGCCTTCTGTGTATATTGCCAGTAAGCCTGTCCTGTGAGCTGGCACTCTGCTCGCACTCACACTGCTGAAACTTCTAATACATAAGTCCCATGACGCACACACACTCGCAGGAGCAATCAACAGCTCTGAGGGTCAGCTCCCTCACCAAAGACTATCCTGACAGACTCTTCAGCAGTAAACAAACCCGACAGTCTCTTCAGAGGAACCCCCGGCCGACTCTTCAGAGATAAAACCAACAGAATCTTCTGAGACAAACCCAACAGACTCTTCGAGACAAACCCGACATACTTTTGACAGTGATTCTATGAGTCAAAATTCAGCTGTGTAACTTTAAGTATGTTGTCTTTAATGCAGTGAACTCTGGGCTGCAGTTAATGACATCCTCTCATCTTAAAACACAAGCAATTATCTGCATTTGTCAGGAGCCCCATCCAGAGTCATGCTAATGCTAATGCTAATGTTGATAATTGCCCAGAAGACTTGAGTGACGTGTCATTAGGTGATTGTTGAGCTGATTAGTGTCTGACAGATACACACACACACACACAGATGCAGAGGCACATGCACATACAGCACACATACACAGAGCCCCGTGCTCCAGCAGAGAACAATCTGGACTGTTGTCTTCTCTGGGGTCTTCACTGTTATCCTCTCTGGGGCTGCAGATTCCTATAAACACACTGTGACCCACACGTGTCCTCATGCCTCTCGGAGCGCTCTTCATAATCAGGCCCCTGAGGGCCCTGTGTGCTGATTGCTCACAGCTGTGGCCCCTGGTGGTGTTGGCAGTGGTCTGATGGGCGTGTGACCTGCTCGTGTGTCAGAGCCGCTGCAGCTGTGAGCTGCCCCAGAGGAAGCCTTTATTTAATTCAATTACATCTTTAGCAGATATGTAAACGAGGCCCTCTACCTCAACCTGCATACAAGGGCCAGGTGCCAGTGTGTGTGTGTGTGTGTGTGCACGTGTGTATGAGAAGGGCCACTCTGATCAGCCCTAAGCAGTCTATCTTTCCTCCTGCTCTTTCCCTTCTACACCAAGTATCAGTCTAATATACCCTTATATCTAATATAATCTTATGTATTTCATCCCAAACATCCTCACGCCTCACTCTGTCACCAACCACCCTGCTAAAAACATTTGTATCTGTCCCCTTTCCACTGCTCTCCTCCCCTAACCTCCTCCCCTCTCCTCCGTCCTCTCCTCCTCTCTCCTCTCCTCTACCCCTCCCTCTCCTCTCCTCCTCTCCTCCCCTCTCCTCTCCTCTCCTCTCCTCCTCTCCTCCTCTCCTCCCCTCTCCTCCGTCCTCTCCTCCTCTCCTCTCCTCCCCTCCTCTCCTCTCCTCTCCTCTCCTCTCCTCTCCTCCTCTCCTCCCCTCTCCTCCGTCCTCTCCTCCTCTCCTCTCCCTCCCCTCCTCTCCTCTCCTCTCCTCTCCTCTCCTCCTCCTCCTCCCTCCCCTCTCCTCCTCCTCTCCTCTCCTCCTCTCCTCCCCTCTCCTCCTCCTCTCCTCTCTCCTCCTCCTCTCCTCCTCTCCTCTCCTCTCCTCCGTCCTCCCCTCCTCTCCTCTCACCTCCTCTCCCCTCCCTCTCCTCCTCCTCCCTCTCCTCCTCCTCTCCTCTCCTCCTCCTCCTCCTCTCTCTCCTCCTCCCTCCCTCCTCCTCCCCTCCTCCTCCTCCTCCTCTCTCCTCCCTCTCCTCCTCTCCTCCCTCCTCTCCTCTCCTCCTCCCTCCTCCCTCCCTCCCTCCTCCTCTCCTCCTCCTCTCCTCTCCTCTCCTCCTCCTCTCTCTCCTCCTCCTCCTCTCCTCTCCTCTCCTCCTCCTCCCCTCCTCTCCTCTCACCTCCTCTACCCCTCCCTCTCCTCCTCTCCTCCCCTCTCCTCTCCTCCTCTCCTCTCCTCCTCCTCCTCCCTCTCCTCTCCTCTCCTCCTCCTCCCCTCCTCTCCTCTCACCTCCTCTACCCCCCTCCCTCCTCCCTCCCCTCTCCTCCCTCTCCCTCTCCTCTCTCCTCTCCTCTCCCTCTCCTCTCCTCCTCCTCCCCTCCTCCTCCTCCCCTCCTCCTCTCCTCTCACCTCCTCTACCCCTCCCTCTCCTCCTCCTCCTCCCTCTCCTCCTCCTCTCCTCTCCTCTCTCTCCTCCTCTCCTCTCCTCTCCTCTCCTCCGTCCTCCCCTCCTCTCCTCTCACCTCCTCTACCCCTCCCTCTCCTCCTCTCCTCCCCCTCTCCTCCGTCCTCTCCTCCTCTCCTCCTCCTCTCCTCCTCTCCTCTCTCTCCTCTCTCCGTCCTCCCCCTCCTCTCCTCTCACCTCCCTCTACCCCTCCCTCTCCTCCTCTCCTCCCCTCTCCTCCGTCCTCTCCTCCTCGCCTCCTCTCCTCCTCCTCTCTCTCCCCTCTCCTCCGTCCTCCCCTCCTCTCCTCTCACCTCCTCTACCCCTCCCTCTCCTCCTCCTCCTCCCCCCTCCTCCTCCTCCTCTCCCCTCTCCTCCGTCCTCTCCTCCTCTCCTCCCTCTCCTCCGTCCTCCCCTCCCTCCTCTCCTCTCACCTCCTCTACCCCTCCCTCTCCTCCCCTCCTCTCCTCCCCTCCCTCTCCTCTCCTCTCCTCCTCTCCTCCTCTCCTCCCCTCTCCTCCGTCCTCTCCTCCTCTCCTCCTCTCCTCCTCTCCTCTCCTCCTCTCCTCTCCTCCTCTCCTCTCCTCTCCTCCTCCTCCCCCTCCTCTCCTCTCCTCCTCTCCTCTCCGCCTCTCCTCTCCTCCTCTCCTCTCCTCTCCTCCGTCCTCCCCTCCTCTCCTCTCACCTCCTCTACCCCTCCCTCCTCCTCCTCTCCTCCTCTCCTCTCCTCCCCCTCTCCTCCGTCCTCTCCTCCTCTCCTCTCCTCTCCTCCGTCCTCCCCTCCCCTCCTCCTCTCCCTCCTCTACCCCTCCCTCTCCTCCTCTCCTCTCCTCTCTCCTCCTCTCCCTCCTCCTCTCCTCTCTCCTCTCTCCTCTCCTCTCCTCCGTCCTCCCCTCCTCTCCTCTCACCTCCTCTACCCCCTCCCTCTCCTCCCCTAACCTCCTCCCCTCTCCTCTGTCCTCTCCTCCTCTCCTCTCACCTCCTCCTACCCCTCCCTCTTCCTCCTCTCCTCCTCCTCTCTCCTCCCTCTCCTCCTCCTCCCTCTCTCCCTCCCCGTCCTCCCTCCTCTCCTCTCCCTCCTCCCTCCTCCTCCTCCTCCCTCCTCCTCCTCTCTCCTCCTCCTCTCCCCTCCCCTCCCTCTCCCTCCCTCTCCTCCCTCCCCCTCCTCTCTCCCTCTCTCCGTCCTCTCCTCTCCTCCGTCCTCTTCCTCCTCTCCTCTCCTCTCCTCCGTCCTCCCCTCCTCTCCTCTCACCTCCTCTACCCCTCCCTCTCCTCCTCTCCTCCCCTCTCCTCCGTCCTCTCCTCCTCTCCTCTCCTCTCCTCCTCTCCTCCCTCTCCTCCGTCCTCCCCTCCTCTCCTCTCACCTCCTCTACCCCTCCCTCTCCTCCTCTCCTCCCCTCCTCCTCCTCCTCCTCCCCCTCCTCCTCCCTCCTCCCTCCTCCTCCTCCTCCTCTCTCTCTCCCTCCTCCTCCCTCCCTCCTCCCTCCTCTCCTCTCCCTCCTCTCCTCCCCCCCTCTCCCTCCTCTCCTCCCCTCTCCTCCGTCCTCTCCTCCTCTCCCTCCTCCCTCTCCTCTCCTCTCCTCCTCCTCTCCTCCCCTCCCTCCGTCCTCCCCTCCTCTCCTCTCACCTCCTCTACCCCTCCCTCTCCTCCTCTCCTCCCCTCTCCTCCGTCCTCTCCTCCTCTCCTCTCCTCTCCTCCTCTCCTCTCCTCTCCTCCGTCCTCCCCTCCTCTCCTCTCACCTCCTCTACCCCTCCCTCTTCTCCACTCTTCTGGCCCCGTTGCCATACTTGCCACTTTGAGGGCCCCACGGAGGAATGAACGCAATCCAGGCCCTTTCAGCCGTCCTCCTCGCCCCTAAAGCGGATCCGTAATGAGGGCCCTCGACTGTGGGGCCCTCTATCCCCCCCTCACCCCCGTTGCAGCTGCTCTCTCTGGCCTGAAAAGCCGGTGCTGATCTGTCGCATTAACTCTTCCCCTCGGATGGGAGCAAAGGTTGTGGTGTGTAGTGCTTCTCCTCGCAACATCAATGACGTTATGATTAGCCATTTAGCTCCCGACAATGGCCCCGAATGCTTCTGAATTGGACGTCTCCGTAGAAGGGGAGCAGGGGGCGGGCCGGGGGAGTCTTTGCCACGCGCCTCGCCGATTGTGGGAGTCAAATGAGCCGACAAATAGAGTGATTACATTTAGCAGTGATCTGGCGAGTTTCGAGATGCAAACGTGGCCAAGCTACGGTTTGGCTGCAGAGAGAAGCAGGAAGGATGTGTGAGGGGAGAGAGGACAATCAGCTGGAGAAGTCAAATGTGAGAGTTAAAGCCGGGGTACCTAACTTTCATACCACACAAAAATGTTTTTTGGTCTCTCTCTGGTCTCTCTCT